TAATTAATAAAAAAAAAAGCTTATATAATAAGTTACGCTTAATTATAAAACCTTAATTAATATAATACTAAGGTACGTAACCGCTCCTTCCGTATATAGCTAGCTCCTAAAGGCGCGGCCTTAATAAAGCGTACCTTTCTTCCTTTTCCTCCTCGTATAGCTTTATTCCTTTAATTTATACCCTTTTACCTAGCGAATAGCTCTTGAAACCGTAATAACCGGTAACCATTAGGTAATTTCTAAAGCCGATACTTATATAGTACTTAAGAAAGGCGTCGAAAAAGGTTAATGGATTACTACTCTTAAGTATATAGGCTTCGGCGGAAAGCCTCTTCCTCCCTTAGTACTTTTTAAGGGTATCGACGTTTAGGCTTAGTAATTTCCTAACGATTCTTACGATTTTTAAGAGGATTAGCGGTTCTAGGCGTTACCTAAAGGATAGATTAATAATAATATCGCGTTAGGTTAGCTCGAAGGTATTTTTATTCCTTATATTCGGGCCCGTTTCGGTAATAAATAGGTTGTTTTAATTTACGACGGCTATAAATCGCATACCTACGACGCCTTTTTTACGCGTTATTTTTAAAATAAAATATAGCTCGTCTTTTACTAGCCTTACTATAGTTACGTCGTATAGGTTTTAGATATCGGGATATTCGGGTTATTAAAAAAACGGCTTAAAAGCCTCCTTAGGAAGAGCTAAAGTACGAATCTAAACCTATTGAACAGGAGCAGCGTGGGCACGCTGACGGAGGCACGAAACAAGGGCTATCCAACTGCCAACAACTGGCCCAGTGCCGATCAACCAAGATCACAGCTGTAAACAGCTGTAATCGGTTGATCGGCCAGCTGAAAACGGCAGCTAGGAAAGGGAGAGACTAGAAAAGCAAAGACGAGGATGGCTAGAAAGGCATAGCAAGAAACGAGTGAATGGCTATAGGTCGTAATATCTACAGGTCTAAGTCTAGCTAATGAAAATATAAGTACGCGACCCATATAAATATATATCGAAAAGGCTACGTAGCCTAGATCCACCGTACCACTATAGCCTCCCCAGTTCAATTAATCCGTAAGGAGTAATTAAACTCCTAATAGCAATAGGTACGGTAGCTCTCGTTCCTATTCAACCTAATCCTAATCCCGATTAACCCTAATCAACTAAAAGCTAGCTAGTTTAATCAAAGGCCAATAGGATAAGTCAGGTAAGTCAACTAGGAACGATTATAACAGCAATAAATAGGTAGTAGGGTAGGTAACTATAACCGTGCCTAACTATACCCGATCCTAATTAATCCCGAACCTATTTAATCGCTACTAACTAGGAGCTAAGCTAATTTAATTAACGATTAATAAGAAATAATAGGAAAGATTAGGAAAGGTCCGATAATAACTAGGCTAGCGGAGCTATAACCTATAAACTAACCTAATCAATCTATTCCTAATTAACCCTAATTAATTAGGAGCGAGCTAGGTCCATTAAGGCCATTAAGAAATAATAGGGATCCGTTAGGAAAACAGGAACTATAACGGGCAGGTAAAATAAGCGTAGCTCCCGTAAGAAACGAAAGAAATAATCCCATACGATATAACGTAATCTCCGTCCTTCTCGTCCATAGCTATCTTTTACCGATCCTTTTTAACTAATTCCTAATCCTATAAACTAATTAATATATCCTATTCATACCCGACTATTTCCGTTTCTAACTATTATTCGTATAACCGTTCTTATATTCGTCCGGCAGCATCTACCGGGCTTCCCTTAACCCTCGATCCCTTCCTTATACGTAGTTCTAGGGGCTCTCTAGGCTCTTCCTACTAACCATATATCGGTAAGGGCGACAAGAGGGATCTCCGGGCATTAACCTATAACTCGTTTCTTTCCTATAGCTATTTCTAGGCTATCTTATTCAATATCTATTCAATTCGTTCGTATCGGTATCGTTTATAGGTCTATCGCGCTAATCGGTAGGTCCCGATCAAGTTCGTAGGTATAAGGTCTATCGGTATCTTATTATAAGGGCATCGTAACACCTATCGGTTAAGGAGAAACCTCCCCAGGTACCGTAACTAACTAGTAGGGATAAAACAAGGGCGATCGGATAGCAAGCTTCTTGTAATTAAAATAAACTAATCGGTAAAGAACGGATGCCTTCAAGCTCGTACGAGGTTATAAAAAGAGGTAGTAGCGGTAACTTGGTCAGATTAACTAAGGGCGAAAAACTACCATCTAGGCACTTGAAAAACGACGACGGAACCAGATAAAAACGGGCATAGCTCCTTTAAAAGAGATAATTAAGAAACGAGGATAAGATAGATCCACTAATCGGCGAACGAGCTTTCAGGTAAGCTAATCAAAAGCTAATGGGAGGGCGTGGTTATTAATAGTCGCCATAATTATCTACCCTTCCCGTTAATCTAGCCACCTAAAAAGGCTCAATCCGAAAGCTACGAAAACAGCTCCTGATTAACTAAAAAACAGGGTATCTCCTAATCGTCGTATCCTAAACCTATTAACTACAAAACGGTCGATCAAAAGGTCGCTCCTAAGACTAGTAAGGTTACGGCTCGGGCTACTAGGTAGTCGCTACTAAACAGGAGCAGCGTAGGTACGCTAACGGAGGCACGAAATAAGGACTACCTAACTACTAATAACTAACCTAGTACCGATTAACCTAAGATTATAGCTATAAATAGCTATAATCGGTTAATCGGCCAGCTAAAAACGGCAGCTAGGAAAGGGGAACTAGAAAGGCAAAGACGAGGATAGCTAGAAAGGCATAGCAAGAAACGAGTAAATGGCTATAGGTCGTAATATCTATAGGTCTAAGTCTGGCTAATGAAAATATAAGTACGCGACTTATATAAATATACATCGAAAAGGCTACGTGGCCTAGATCCACCGCACCACTACACTATGCCCTACTAAGATCGATATATTAAAGGTATACCGATAGGCTAGGGTCGATATAATAACTTCTCGAACTATTAAAAGAGCTCAGAGGACCTCTGGAATTTATCCTAGAAACCGCGAGAAGCCGTTATCGTCGAGATTCGTAGTTATAAAGAATAAGGATATTCCTAGATCTCGGCCGAGACGATCGGAGGCATCGGAGGCTATCGAAAGGCCGAAAATACTTAATTTCCTAACGTTATTAGCTCTAGAATACGTTAATATATCCTTAAACGGCTAGGTATTACGAAACGCTACTTAACGGTTTATTCCTATTAATTCTAGGGCTAAGGCCGTATCGTAACGGTTATTTATTCGGAAAACTAGCGATGCCTTCGACCGATAGGCTAATACGATCGCGATTCTTATAACCTAACTTTAATATAAGACCGTTAAAAACGATAAGGCCATTACTAAGACGCGTAAAAAGGTATGCGTAACGCTAAGGAAGCGCTTCGTTCGTATAACGGATATACGGCGGGTAAAAAGGTCGTTAAAAGGCAGGGTAGTATATAAGGACGAGGCAAGCGACGAAGAGGTACTTAGAGAGGCTAAAACGGCGCTAAGAACGCCTAAAAACGAAGCATCGTAAGCAGAGGACTATATCGAGGTTATAACGCCGGAATTAAAGGGTTTTAATTAATTTTAGTAATATAAATAGCTTTAATTATTAACGTAGTAGTTACTAGGTAATGCTTAATTTAGGTAGCTCGTAGAGGGGTAACTCGTGGAGGGGTAGCCTAACTTAGCGATTGGACCCTGGCTTAACGAATACCGCTGTGTAATATTCGGCATGCAGATGCAGATGTGCGAAAACATCTGCCAAAACCCCACACGCAGTACTAGTTTGAGCTGTTACTGAGATATCAGTATATAGTGTCGAGGGTATTTGCAATGCGGTTATATCCTTACCATTTCCACCTTTAGGGGTACCGGTTGACTTTTCCAGTGCCAAGGCTACGTTTGCTCGACATGTAATTAACGAAAGCTAAAAGATAAATAGAATTAAAACGACTGAATAGGGCATATCTGTTATAGCTAGCGTGTGAGGAATAGACGGTACGGCTCCTTGAAGTAGAGCCTCATCTATGGTAGGACGCTGACTATTTACATTCTGGCTATCTCATCCATCCCTCCTCGGTCCTAAAATTTGCAGACGTCTGCGCGGAAAGTGCGATACCCGCCATAACCGACAGTTCTGTACGCCCATAAGCGCCATCCGTCTCCATGTCTCAAGGCCCGTTTCATTCCTTTGTTCCTTCGGAACTGCAAAATATCCTACCGTGGCGGTACAGAAGGCTTCGATATTTAAGGTTGGGTGAATATACTATTGGTGCCACTATGTTATTTGTATATGGGCCTATCGGTGTTGTTATCCTTGCCATCGTTCCGCCAAGTGAATGTAGGTAGGAAGAAGTATTGCCGAGTATTACTGCTAAGTAATATACTTAGGTATAGGTAGTTACTCAAGTGCATGCAGGGGCCCCGCTGGTGTTCTCTCTAACGTTCGGATCCCTCGGCCATTTGTGCCGTAAAGCTTATCGCAACCGCAGAGGGAGAAGCCGGTAAGGCCCTCGAGGCTCGCCTGTGGTAGGTCGAGCTTTGGCGTCAAATGGCCTACGTACTGATATAATATCTGATAAATCTGACTGCGTTCCGAAGTGGCTGACTAGTCGCAGCCGTACTCCAAGGTGGCTGGCTACTCTAGGATAGTACGTAACTGAATCATGGCATTGCTAGCCCGGGTGAGCGGGTGTCCTGTATCCGTTCTAGGCATGAGACATCGAGTATGGTATCGTTGCAGGGTATTAGCTACAGTAGATAAACCGGAAGAGGGGATCGACGGGCTACGTTGGACGAGATGCCGTCAGCTGGCCTCCTGAAACTCCGAACGCTCTAACCTCTCCATCTGATAGGATACGATAATGTAGATAGGTAAGCCTATATCTACAAGTGGTAGAATGTAGGCAGACGATCTACGTTTCACGCAACATCTGAAAATTGAAAGCTACTTCTGGATGGTTGTATTTCAGGTATATACCACTAGCCGTTAAATAATGTTGCCTCGTGTCTCTTTGAGCACCGTCCAAAGGTTGTCCGTCAAGTCTAATACGGCAGCCGGCAAGGGACCTTTCTGAATTAGGGATACCGTCTCAATTATCTGGCTCCTTTTACTTGCACCGAGAACGAGTCCGTCCTCCTCTGTCAATTCCGAATGATGAGACAGCCAGTGAGCAGCAACTTCTACTGGCGATAGGCCATGCGCTCTGACCTCTGCATCGAATATCTTCGTTGCACGGGTAAGATCTTCTGCACCAAAGATCCTCTGTACCGCCTTTCCGAGTGGGTTCTCGTCCCCGAAACGGGTGCCCGACTTTCGGTCGTTGACGAAGTTTCCGGTCAGGAATCCCGACGCAAGCCCTCTGTTTTGTTTTTATATGTCTTGTTGTTAACATCCTCACGTTTACGGACGCCCGGAGAGTCCGGTAGCAGAGCTTGGAAGCTTTAACATACCGGAAGGCATTGAAGGTCATCCCATGAGCACGCAAGATTGGCAGGAGTCGTGTCTCCATGCCTCGCGAGATAAGGCTATACTCACCCTGGTAACACAACGGCTTCACCCAGCCATTCTGCTCGCAAAGACGCAGAATTTGCTCGAGGGTTTCCGGGGAGGTGTTAGAAACCCCTCACTGCAATCAAGTTTAATTCGGCGTTATTCACGTGTTACGAGATATGGCAACGTACCGCCTTACAGTGACCTTGTGCTATCTGTTCGTTGGACCCTTGGATATGTTCTTCCAGTGGCGTCTTGGGGTCTGCTCAATGGGCATAGAGCACGTTCACCTAGTACCTCGGAGCGTAAGCCAGCCGGACATTAGTACGTCGCCATCGAGGGCGAGGAATCCGTATTGCCTACCCCCTCAGCCCTACGAAGACGATCTAGGCTATCATTAGCTGAACTAGCGACAGCTGAACGAGTCAGATCCCCGCTTCCATCGTTTCTCGTGTCCGTGAAAACTTTGGTATCGGCCAGGAAGTGCGAACTAAGCTCCTTGGCTTCGCCAATCAACTGTTCAGCACGCCCGGGGTTAAGCGGTGGATAGCGAGCACCTGAGTCGAGGTGGCTGATGTTGAGGTCTCGAAGGGTGCTGAGTAGGGCTCGGACGGACTCGACGTCTTGGAACTCGGTCAGGTCCATGCCGAACGAGGCAGTTCCAAAGATAATCTTGGGAGCCATTGCGGGATATAGAAATTCTGCGTTTGGGAAAGCCGGCTTGGGAAAATCAATCAAGATGTTGAAGCTCCAAACCACGGGCAGCATCACAGTGGGCGAAGCGGGGTAGCAGTCAGATAGTGGATGTGTTCTTCTTCCCACCCGGGTTTGTTCTTCCTCTTCCCCTACGCACAAAATGCGGGCTCGTACTACTCAATATATGACATACGATTACGCGTAGGTATTCTGTACATCTAGAGAGACCCCTTACATGGAGGTGCATGCGCCAACCTGAGTTGGTAGGGCAGAGTATTCCCTACGTGTACATGCCTAGTCCTGGAGTCCAGTCGAATACGTTAGAGGTCAGTAACAAAGGGATGCGCGTATTAGGAGCTTAGCAGAAATCCGGTCAGGTTACGGTCCCCCCCCTGCTGTTTATATTACGCACACCAAGCATCCTGTATCCTGTGTAGAAGCTCGGGCATGATAGTGCGACTATGTGAGTCAGGGCCGAAGACGATTCGATAACTACTACTCATACCAGTTAAGCACCGAGTGGCGAACGTGATAACGTGCAACCGTACGAACAAGTGTGCACAAAGGTACATATATCGAAACCAGGAATCTGGGATGAGATCACCCCGTACTATGCCTCAGGTTCAGGGTGCCATATCCTCTGGCCACCTTCCCTTCAACCCCGCCACGACTCTCTCTGATCTAGATCTGGACAAGTTGCTCTACGTTACCATGGACAAGCTTGGTATTATTGATTCTCCCGGCCCGTTTGCGGCTATCTATACTGTTCACCTCGATTACCTTGTTCAAATTGCGGTCGTATGTTCTCTGTGGTGGATTCTCGGCCAATGGATAAAGCTTCTTATGGCACACGATGGGAACAGGGAGATCCAGGTCCCGATCATTGGCCCTCGAGATACTCTCCGAGCGAGGTGGGAATTCTTCCACAACGCCGCGGCAATGTTGAACGAGGGTTACAGTAGGGTATGTTTCCCTCTTGAATCGGACTGCACCCAGCGCTTCTCACAGGGACTAGTACAAAGACAGAGTCTTCAAGCTATCATCTCACGACACTGTGGTGATCCCGAGGAAATATGTTGCGGAGCTGAAAAGCCTCCCCGATGAGAAGCTCAGTTCAATTCAAGCAAATATCGACGTAGGTTCAACCAGAATTCTTCCCATGCAAGTGATTAACGTCGTCAGAATTTCGAGGGTCTTTATTCCACCACTGCAATACTGCTTGAGGGAAACCTACATACTAGAGTGCTTCAGAGCCGACTTACACCGAGGCTCCGCCACCACGTGCCAATTGTTCAAGAAGTATTGGCAAGAAATCTTCCCGAGGAGCTTCCCGTCGACAAAGGTCAGCTATACTGCGAAAGCATCCGATCCCGCTTACCGTATCTCTAATCATATCACGGTGATAGGCGAATACAGGAGTTTCGAGGCTTTCGATCTGGTGCTTCGCCTCGTTTCGTTCATTGCAGCCAGACATTTCGTTGGCCCACCACTATGTGAAGACGAAGAGTGGTTATCGACAGCCTTGACCTACACAGAGAATGTGTTCAAAACCATCATATTTCTTCGCATCTTCCCTGACTGGGCAAAACCGATCGTTGCCCTTTTCATACCGTATTCTTACAAGGTCTCGTGGGCATTGCGAAAAGCCAAGCGCATCGTCATTCCTCAGATTCTAAAGCGACGTGAAGAAGAACGTAATAACCCGGATTACCAAAAGCCTGAGGATTTCCTTCAGTACCTGATGGACGGTTCTGACGAATACAGTGGCCGCCCGGATAAGCTGGCCCATCGTCTGCTGATTCTGACCCTAGCAGCTGTTCATACGACCTCCATGGCTGCGACACAGACCTTATTCGATTTGTGTGCCCATCCTGAGTACATTGACGTATTAAGGCAGGAGGTCTTAGACGTCCTGAAAGATCACGACGGCTACAAGAAACAGACTTTGACGAATTTCAAGAAGATGGACAGCTTCATGCGAGAATCGCAGCGACTGAACCCGCCCAGTCTACGTAAGCGACCCCGAATACTTAGCGATGACTTGCTAACGGTTCAGTCGGGTTTAAACGCGCTGTACGAGAGCCTCTGACGCTATCTGATGGTACCCATCTTCCTAAGGGGGCACACCTGATGGTTGCAATATCCCCAGTAGTGTTTGACCCTGAGGTAATTCTGGAGCCTCATCGCTTCGACGGGCTTCGGCATTACAACGAGCGTTCACAGCCAGGAGAGAGTCTGCGACACCAGTTCATAACCACAAGCGACCACAACCTGCATTTTGGTCACGGAAAATTTGCTTGCCCCGGGCGCTTTCTAGCGGGAAACTCGATAAAAATGATCGTCTCGAATATCCTCCTCCGGTACGATTTCCGTTTCCCGGACGGTACCAAAGAGAGACCCCCTAATATGCGTGTACACGAATACGTATTCCCCAATCCAGAGGCTCACATTGAGTTCAAATTGAGGGACGAAATATCCCACTGGGTTCCCAAGGAGGATGGGCGTAGTGGCTAGGGCACGATTATGGAGAGTGAGAATTTACATACTACTACTACTACTACTACTACTACTACTACTACTACTACTACAATTTTTGTACTTGGATGGTAAATTGAGCTAATGCCAACTTTGATAAATGGTGACAGATGTTTATTGCTACATTTTATGTAGGAAATTCTACCCGTTAATAATACAAGCCTCTATTATCTACAAGTCGTAAAATGTTGCCGTCTACGTTTTACGCAACACTATTATCATACTGAACGTCAGTCGTGGACTATGGAGGAAAGTGTGTGCAACTTTCATCAGTTATCTCCATTCTCGCACTCTGCCCTGCAGCACGGACTGTTAAGGCCTCCAGTGCTTCATCTCCTTCGCTTGTACTAGCTGTGTTGCGATCGTCGTCTTATCGCTGTGGCGTTCCTCGCCGCCAGTCCTAAATTTCTACTTGAATGTGTATCCGCACCAACACCAGGCCGTCGTCCCGATACACAGTTTCAGTCACTAGAAGTCTCGTGAGGATATTAGCTACCTAAGAGGCAATACGTGCCTTGGTGGCTATTGCACGGTAGTCCGATGGAGATGCTCCATCTAGCATGTTCTAACATCTCTCCCAGAGAAGCACATTGCCATTGTATCGGGTCCCTCTGTAGGTGTACCTGTATGTTCATGGCCGTATCAGCTTAGCTTGGGTCTTCAAGGGGAAGAGCCAACTCCCTGTTTTAACTCTCATTCATTAACAACTTTCTGTATGATGAGCTCTAGAAGGCCTAGTAACTGGCAAGTCTATTTTGGAAGCAAGCCGTATTATATATGAATTGCCTCTAATTGTCTTTAGCACTTGATCGCAAGTTTCATGACACTTGCCTTGTTTATACGATATATGCACTTGAGTAACTATCACGTAGCTGGAACTACGTGCGCGAGAGCGCGTGCGAGGAGCTATTTCACGAGCAACGAGCAACGGGAGGAGGAGCAAAAGGTCAAAAGGTCTTGTTCTGTCTAAGAAGTAGCTAAAGGAATGGCAGGCAACGGGAGCGAATATATAGGAGCTCCTGTTGCTGAGGTAAGCAACGAAGAGGTGTAACCTCTACGTGACAGTAATTCTATTGGTCACATCTATATAAGCACACGACCATGGGGTTGACGGAGTTGTTCATCAGGAGTCTCTCTCCATGGACACTTACGACTATTCCCTTGGTTTTCGTCGTCGTGCTGGCATCTACCCACACCGTCATCAGATTATATGATGAACACATCCGACTCAGGGCACCCAGGGTGGGAAAAAACCCATGGATTTGGGGACTTTGGCGATCCCGTGCGTATTTCGCACGGAACAGCAAGGATCTCACTCACTACGGCTATGATGCGTACAAAGACTCAATATACCGAATACAAACGGGCGATATGGAGCGCCTAGTAGTTGCAAACAGCTACTTGAATGAGCTACGGAAACTTCCAGATACCCGCCTAAGTAGCAAAGTGGCAGTTGTAGAGAGGAACCTAGGATGGTATAACGGTGTGGATATCATCCTGAAGAGCACTTCCCATGTGGATGTCTGCCGTGTCCAGCTTGTCCAGAATCTCGGTAGGCTTCAGAACGCGGGCACCTGATGGCACGGCTAATAAATACTAGGCAGAGTTGTTGACGGCCTAGTAGCCGAGCTTGACAACGTATTCCGACTCGAGCTGACGGCATGCTTTGAGGACCGAGGTGAGTTTTACATCCCTGAGGCTTCAAACAACACCCAGTGGTCTATCCGGCTAACATAGCAGACTTTTATAACGCGTCCAAAACTATTCTGCATATCGTCAATCGCAGTATTGCTAAGACTATCGTCGGCGAACCTTTATGCGACCGGGACGAATGGCTTAGCACTAGTTTAAAGACGACTGTGAATACTGGCATGCTGACGGACAGGTTGAGAAAATTGCCTGTTCTAGTTCGCCCACTGGTAAGCCCTTATACGGCTTCGGGAAAGGCGTTGAAAGAGGGTTTGGAAGTAGCGCGAAGATTACTTTCGGAGGAGATCACCGAGAACAGGCGACGCGGTGGAGAAAGGACCGATATCTTGCAGTGGCTTATTGACCGCCACGACGCTGACGACGTTGGTATTCAATTTCTAACCAACCAAGTCCTGTTTATCACTACGGCTGCCACCCGATCAACCGCAGCCTCAATAGTACACACCACCTTTGATCTTCTAGCCTATCCGCAGTACCAGAACATACTTCGCCACGATATCGAGGATGCTTTGATGAGGAGCGGCGGATGGAGTCTCGAGGCGCTCCATGGGATGGAGAGACTGGACAGCTTCATCAAAGAATCGCAGCGGCTCAACCATCACCCTCTTTGTGAGTCCCTATGGTTTCGCTCACCAGCACTGCTGGCCCGTTTCTTTAGCCCAATACTGCAAGGTCGCAACCAGCAACCAGAACCTGACCATCACAGTGTCCTTCAACCGGAAGGTGCAGAGTTCCATCACCCTTAAAGATGGCCTCACTATCCCTGCGGGCACTTTCATCTCGGTGCCAAGTTACTGGGCGGCTAGGGACCCTGATATCCATCTAAACGGCTCTGAGTTCCACCCCTGGTATTGGTTCGACTTACGGTAGGATGCCAAGCGCCGGGGAGAGAGCATCACACCTTTTTTGGCCAGCAGTACGAGTCCAACAAACTTGTACTGGGGCTATGGGCGGAATGAATGCCCCGGTCGTTTTATGGCGGCCGTGGAGATAAAACTTCTCGTGGCGTGGATGCTACGAAACTTCGACGTAACCTTTCCGCCGGGCCAGACAGGCCGGCCAGAGAACCTGTTCGTCGACGAACGAGTACGTCCATGTCCAACCCAAGAGGTCGGCTTTCGAAGGCTCCGATAGATAATCCCACGTAAGCATCTGGCGTTGCACGGTTGGGCGGTTGGGCTAACGCTGCTGCGATAGTGGTAAACGATTTATCCCCATTAAAAGCCGGAAAGAAATCGGAAAAGTCTGAAATTTACTTACGTAATTAATCAACTGAATTGAATTAACATATGAATTTTTTAAATTTTTTGCTTACTATTATAAGAAATTATTTACGATTTAAGGTTTTTTGAAACTATATTAATAGTTTCCTATATAATTTATTAGTAAATCTATTAACTCTGCTTTATATTAGCCTCTTGACCTATTTTTTTTACTGTAATAAAATGAGCCTATTATCTAATTTTTTATAGTATAAATAAAAGAACGGTTAATATTACGTAATCTTTCTTATTTATATTTTTCTGATTTTTATTAAATTAAATAAGTTTTAAAAACGTTAATTGTTAGGGTTCTTTTTTAAACCCTCTTTGTATGGAAAAATAGGATAGTCGGAAAGGTGGAATTCTTACTGTAAAAATAGGTACGATTTTAAAAAGTTTTAACCTGTTTAAAAACATGGTTTTTTGAAATAATAAATTAAACAAAAACGAAATCAGAAAATAAAAATATCAATACTTAATACTTGCTATTTTTCTATTTATAATATAAAGAATTAAGTAATAGACCTACTTTATTACCGTGAAAAAAATAGGTAAAGACGTTAATATAAGTATAGTTAATAGATTTACTAATAAATTATATGGAAAACTATTAATATAGTTTCGAAAAACCTTAAATCGTGAATAATCTCTTATATTAGTAGGCAGAAAATTTGGAAAATTCATATGTTGATTGAATTAAGTTGATTGATTACGTAAGTAAATTTAGACTTTTCTTAACTTTTTTCGGCTTTTTACGAGGATAAATCGTTTGTATGTAAACCTATATAAAATACCCGGCTCGCGAAGGGGTGGCTTGCAGAGGGGTGGTCTAGCTTAGTTTTCGTACTGTCAATGATTTCGGACTTATCAGCTTTTATGGAAGCACCCGCGAGCAAACTAACATCCTCCTTCACGGGCTAGCCTTTCAGCTACCCCTTCACGGGCTAGCCCTTCAGCTACCCCTTCACGGACTACCCGAATTGAGCATCACTTTAGGAGCAATAACGTCACTGTAGCATTGGGAATACGGCAACAAGTATGGTTAGTGGACTTTATGCAGATGTTGCGGGTTTTAACAGACTTCAACGCCAGGGTGGGATGCAATGGAGTGCATTTATCACAGTTGGAGGATTCAAAATGCGTAAGCCGAGAGACAAGCCCAGAAACGGCAGTTCTACGGACATTCGTGGGGGGGAAATGTACCGGCACAAGGGACTATTATCGCTGTCTGCGGCACGGATGTAGTAATATTCCATGGATTTTGTTACATCATGTACGTCCAACATCGACTCAAGGTTGGGTCAACCTGAAAGATGTTAGTCCTCACAACAGGTTGACTCTTTGGGCGGCATTTGGGGCAACACAATCACAATTCTCATGTCAAGGCGTGGTTGATGAAAACCGATCACCAACGTGCGGATCACCGACATTGAGCAATCTACAACAGAAGATGGGCAACATACAGGTGCTAATGAAGCCTAGTTCTCCTTATACAGCGCTAGCACGACTTGGCGGCTTCTAAAGATGTTCATGGTGTTATACCTCGATATCTCTTACACTTGGCACCTGGAGGAGTACATTGTATCTGTTCGTACCTTTACGCCATCGTACGAGCGAGGTCACAATGTCTTCCGATCGCCTGTAGCATTCAGGTAACCCCAGATACAACGGTTCTGGCCCAGCTAATGTTATTTTCCCATGGGGGCATTTGGGTAGACTCCAGTCTGTCCGATGGCACAAGATCAGCTGCTGAACTCCTCATATTAAAATATCACGCCGAAGTGATGATCGAGGAGGTCAACAAATGGACGCTCACTGATGATTTCATGCTCCCGAGAAGCTTCGAGCACCAATTAGCAGAATGAATGAACAGCTCTTGGGGTTCGGCATGGCTCAGCTCAGTTCTGACGCCAAGTCGCTTATTCAAGAGTGCCTGAGGGGCTACGATGAATCATTCGGCTCCGGCTCGATGAGCTGCACAATCTACGATACGGCCTGGGTGTCTCTAGTTGTAAAGGTCGTCCATGGAAAGAAGCAATGGTTATTTCCCGAATGCTTTCATTACATTCTCGCCGCACAGTCGGACGACGGGAGCTGGAAGACCGGGAACACCCCACAGATCGATGGGATTTTGAACACGGCGGCTTCGTTGCTCTCTCTTCTAAGACACAAGAGAGAGCCACTCCAGATTCAGGAAGTCTCCCTGGAAGACGTTACTGCACGAATTTCTAAGGGAATAGCGTCTCTGAAATTACAGTTGGTCTCATGGTCTGTTTCGGCAACACGGCATGTTGGATTTGAGATACTCGTCCCGGCCCTCTTTAAGTATCTACGACAAGAGGACCCCTCTATTTCGTTCAGCTTCGACGGAAAGGAAGCCCTGAAGCGGCTGAGTTCTCAGAAGAAATCCAAGATAAGCACTGCATCTCTCTATGGTAGTCGAATGAATACAGGGATCCACTCTCTCGAGGCTTTTATTGGCGACATAGACTTTGATCGAGTCTCGCACCACAAGGTCTCAGGTTCCATGATGGCATCTCCCTCCTCCACGGCCGCATACCTGATGAATACCTCAGAATGGGACGATGAAGCGGAAGTCTATATTCGCCGCGTGATCGAATCTGGGAGCGGCCGTGGAAGTGGTGGTGTCCCCAGTGCTTATCCCTCCAATTATTTCGAATGGACATGGGTATGAGAATTTCCTGCAAATCCTCTCCGGGCTTATATCTAACACGTTATGGCTGTTAGATCTTGTCAACTTTATTGAAGGCAGGCTTTCAGTTTTCAGATCTCGAGTCACCCCAGTTAAATACAGTCACACAAATTCTCAGACGAGCCTTCGATGAGGGAGGGGGCGTGATCGGGTTTGGTAAGACTGCCTTGGAAATTATCAGCGCGTGATACTGTTGAAACTCATAACTATTAGCCTCGCACCTCGGGGCAGATGTGGACGACACAGCGAAGGGAATCATTGTCCTAAACAGCCTCGGGTATTCTATCAGTCCCCAAAAGATGATCGACATATTCGCAACAAACGACCATTTTCGAACATATCCCTCCGAAAGAGACCCCAGCTTTAGCGCCAACTGCAACGTTCTGTCGGCCTTGGTTCATCTGCCAGATGTAACACTTCACTCCAAACAAGTTCTCAAGGCCGTAGCATTCTTATGCAACTACTGGTGGGCCTGTGATGGCAGAGTCAAAGACAAATGGGCATGTGTTCTCGATATCCAGGATTGAGATGCTTTTGAGGATCTGACCATTCACAGAACTCGAGTCACCTCTACTCGTCCCATCTTCTGGTGCAAGCTTTGGTTGATTTCATAGAGGCAACAGAGCAGGGTAGACTTCCGTCGCTATCCGACAACGCTTTAGAGTCTAGAGTATACATTGCTATCTTCCAGGCCTGTCTCAGGACCCTGCTCGAACAACAAGACGACGGCTCATGGAACAGCTCCATTGAGGAGAGCTCATACGGGATCCTAATTCTCTCTCAGGCTCGTCGGATGCGTTTCTTTGATGATCTGCGGGAGCCACTATCCCTCGCTCTGACGCGTGGCATCGGGTTCCTTCGATCACATGATATCTACACGCCCGACCATATCTGGATTGAGAAGGTCAGCTACGGCTGTCTTATGCTGACCAGGTGCTATGCAATAGCAGCATTAAAGGTATCGACCGGTCCTCCTGGGTCCCGCGTGGGATTCCGCGTCCAGGACGAGACTTCAAGAAAGATACGTCACGCTATATCGCTATTCCAAGGGACGCCGTTGTTCATCAACTCTCCTCAATGGCATATACAGGCGTCGATGCTGGAAGGAGCGTTGTTCCACCCCCTGCTGCTCTCCTATAAACCTAACATCTTTCCACGAAAGGGCATGGACGAAGCCAAGTATTTCCACATTGTTCCGTTTACCTGGACGAGCTGCAACAACCGCTCGTGCACGTTTGCCTCCGCTTCATTCCTATACGATATGATGGTAATATCATTGCTCAATTACGAAGTCGACGAGTTTATGGAATCCGTGCCTGGACCTGAGTTCCAAGGGAACATACCTGGCCTCCGCGCACTGATCAGTGACCTATTCGTGGAGGACTACAGTAGTCCATATAACGGTCTTAGGTCGTTATCATTACCCTCCAATGGTCATTCCTCGAGATGTCGTGACACCAATGGAGCTGCCTGTTCGACAGAAATCAAGGGTGCTACAGCAGGTGCACTAAATCGTACCTTGGACGTCCAAGGCGTTAATTACCAACAAGTCGCCGAACCTCTTTCGTCATTTGTGGCTTATGTTTTAGAGCACCAGTCAGTAGTTGCAGCCAGTGACTGGGACCGCAAGAACCTTCAACGTGAACTCAAGACTTACCTTTTGGCGCACGTCACCCAAGCGGAAGAGAACATACGACTCGGCAACCAAAATAATACGGAAACCTATGCCGCGGTACAACAGAGCTTTGCTGACTGGGTGCGGACAACTTCGTCCGATCACACATCGTGTCCGTACTCGTTTGCCTTCGTTACATGTCTTTTGTCTTCTACTCTCGCGGGCGGTAAGGACTGCTTCCCCACAGTTCAGGAGAAGTATCTCGCAGCGGCATTTTGTCGGCACCTTGCCATCATGTGTCGCATGTACAACGACTACGGCTCCTTGAGCCGAGACCAGGCCGAGAGGAACCTGAACTCTCTCAACTTTCCCGAGTTTGAGGAGCCCGGCTTGAACTTCAAGAATTCCAACGCGGCCTTAGGTGTCGTAGAGGCAAGGAAGCGAGCCTTATTCGAGCTTGCCGAGTACGAACGGTTCTGCTTAGGAGAGGCGCTTAGCCGGCTTGAAAAGGAGAGTAAGCCACAAGAAACAGGGATGGAGGAGCCCGAATCGCCAAGCAATCGTCGCAAAGCTATTCTACGTCTGTTTAGGGATGTGACGGACCTGTATGGGCAAATTTACGTTCTCCGAGATATCGCAAGTAGTAAGGTGGTGCGATGATTTACGGTCTGGGTTTTGTTCGTAGTGCTGTTTCTCTTATCTTCTGCCAGCACCAGGATCCACTATGTGCTGGCTTTTCCTTTCTTCAGATCCGTTCCTTTTCAGCTCCTCTTTTATAATACTGTTTTCAGATGCATACCAAGAACCACAAAATCAAGTTATTTATCGAGTACCTACATAGAAGTAGTAACATGCTTCCTAATCTGAAGGCATACCTGGATAGGTTAGGCTGCTAACAGGTACTCCCATGATTGCTGTGCTAATATTTCTACATTCTGATTCAGTCATGTTTCCTTTTGCTATTGCAAACGTTGCGTTGCAGGGATAACTTTTGTCATGAATAGGGGTAAATGTCACGGGATAACAGGCCAGGGACAAGAGCAATAGCCTTCCCTCTATCTACGGGCTACGACAGACTTTCGGTTTAGCAAGCGGCAATATTTATATCAGGTCGCTACACGGATACCGTCTAGAAGCCGCTCTCATATGTAGCCCCCTCATAAGGATCTACTAGATATTATTACATGTTCAGCCTAGTACGATAAGCTTCATCGTGATCTAGCACGCCCACCACTTTCGAGAGAGCACGCAGTCTCATAAAGCATCGTTCGAATTCATGTACGATGGTGTGCCGCGGCTCCCGGACACGGTCGTCTCTCCATAACGAACGCGTATAGCGAAAATACGTTAGACTCTCGGTCATGACCAGAAGTCACCTTGGGAGAGCCTTCTCTTGGAAAGTCCATCTGTGCTGGTCCCAAGTCGATTGCGACGTCATCGTAGAGACTTTAGCAGTGGCTATAGAAAATCGCAGGTACCTTATCCCAAGGGAGGGACTAGTGAGCCGAGTAGTCGAATCAGTTTCAACGCCAGGATTGGGGTCGTCAGCACTGCTGGCGTCAGCATTTGCAATGGCCAGGACGGTACCAGCGTAAATCTCATCCATATGAACAATTTACTCATCTTTATCCTTCTCGGAGGCTTGGATAACGCATAGGGTGTCGACCCGGAGATAACGCCCTCCTAATCTGTGGCACATCGTCATCGCGTCTCTGATGGTAAATGGGACCCCTGGCAGATTGGAAAGCGCCATTGGTTTGATTAGATCGTTGTACGTAGAACTGTTCAAGGAGAGCTGTCTTGCGTTGCCCCAGACGTAACTCAAAGCGATGCAGCGACACCGCTCTGGTGCCTCTCTGATGAAGGCGTTCACAAGATCGATAAGGCGGAGTGTGAATCCTCGACGGCATGATGAGGTGTTCGGCCGACACACCGTCCCATGATCTGGATGGCATTTCAATAGCCAAGTCTGGATCAAAGAAAAGTCTTGCCGGGTGGACATGGCCGCAGGTGTGAGAAGCGGACACTGTAGCGACGGGCCTGCTAGTTGAATGCAATGGTTATACACGACGCCTGGCTCCATTTTCTCAAGCGACCCAATTGAAGTGACCTGATCAAATCCACGGTGCGGCCGCCACCGTCGTGGCTCGCCCACAAAAATGTGAAGACGAAGGCCCTGGAGCCGTTGATCGTAGGACCTCGTTGTTGGAGCCGGCCCCAGAGCTAACGCTCGGCCTATCAAATTGTCCCCCCAGCTGCCGTAGAGGCTAATGAAGCCATCTTCTTGGCTTCTTCTAAGTTTCTGATAGGTTACTGATCTTCTTGATGCGGGGCCAGAAGACCGCAATGGCAGGATACGGTCCCGGAGATAGCGGAGGGCCTGATGCAATTCCCAGAGAGGATCAGGGGGGTAGTAGACGGCGAAATCGTCCAGAACACCGCAGATAGTGCCAGATGTAACGGCATCGAGTGCTAGGGAACGACCGAGAGCTTAGGGAAACAGGTTACAGCAGTATACATCGCCCGAAAGTTGCCCTGAAAAATTACCATTGTTGTTAATAAACCTGAGTTGCCCTAAGCCCCCCCCGAGCTGTTGCTGCTTTAACCTGAGCCATAGTTGAGCTCCAGCACTGCCCCAGGTTCCTCGTTTTCGGCCACACCGGCTAAAGCTACCATTTACAAAAAGTGAAACATACACGCAAGGATCAAGGGGGTCCTTAATCTGGGCTTATATACTACGACGGCTTATGATTTCCAATCCATTGAGAGAGACCGAAATAATTAGAACCGGATAGTCCTCCGGCGAAGCTTTCACATAGTTGATGTGGTGAATACCACGAGAGGCTATAGAGGCGTACCAGTCTAAGGGAATGGAAAATTCAACAGAGAATGAATTAAAGATGTTCCATGAACGGTGCTTAAACATCATCCTGGCGGTAGAGCCGATCAAGTTCACCGACACCTATCCCAGAAGGTAATAGCTTTCATGACCATTCAAGACCAGAAAACGTTTTGCACCCTTCATATGACCCCAAATATAATTATCAAAGTGTTTTACCCATTCAACACCAATATCATTAATTGTCCAACTATTATAGGACAGGTCGGCCTTCCAATCGCGTGGGAAGTCGGCGTTGCGGTATTACCACGAAGCGAGGTGAACTTTGCCGGCGAAGATGATGTACGGCGGCACCGTCCAGCCTTGGGAATTAACTGCTGGAATCACAGTAACCCATTCCCTATTGCCTTGCTGGGCCTGCCTAGGCCGTCCAACTCTTTCTGAGCTTATAACAACCATACTGGTTGAGATTATGCCCATCAAAAACCCCGTCTCGTCAAAGTAGTATACATCCTCCCGGACGATACCGTGTTTCGCCATTGAGTGCTCAACACGCCGAAAATAATCGCGATACTCGGCAGGGTCTTCATTTAATGCTCTTTGTGATCAATTCGACGGTTTAAACGCGTTCGGAGGTCTGGTCGTCGCCGTACAAAGCTCGAAGCCCAGTTCTTGCCCACGGGAGGCGCGTCGCGCTCGCGTCGGAGGATGTTGGCCATTTCTTCAACGTATTGAAGCTGGGGAGGAAATGCTCGCGAATTTAAGTTAATTCCGCGTCGGGCAATCGTGTCCTCTTCGCTTTGCTTCAGATTTCGCTTTGTCATGTTAATTTCGTACAATGGGCGTCTTCCGTTAAATCGAGCCTTAAGCGTTCTATCGTCAACACTATAAATTTTGGCAAGCTTGCGATAACTTAGTTCTGGGTTGTGTGTTTTAGCTTAGATGGCTAATTGGAGATTGGCTTCGGTAGATTAAATAGGCATGTTGTGCGTAAAGAAGAATTCATAATTTTAATTGAAGGGTTTGGATGTAATGAAAAGTACGCCATTGACTCGTGTGCGCTATTGACCTATGGACCACGTTAATTTAATTTTTAATTTATTAAAAAATATTTTATATAATGCTGGTTAATTATTTTCAATTTGACTGGCTCGAGTTCTTGTTCCTCTTCCGAAGCCTTTGTCCATAGAGGTTGGCAATCCATAGATAAGCTCATGACACATGTGTTATTACCATAAGTGCTGACTCAAACGACTAGCTGTGTGTTATGTGAATACTAGATGATAGTGACAGTGTGTACTAAATCCCCCAACCTTTCATCTTCAAGGTTAATATCCTCTTGTGCAAGTATTGTCCAACCATGTTGGTATTGAGTGATTTGTTTCGCTCCAAGTCTCTCTTTGACTACAGCCCCAGGGTCGAAACTATTTTCACCATCAAGACTGCTCGTACTAAATACGCCTAATCTGCAATACGTTTCTTCTCCAGGTTGTTTTTCAGGCAACATTTTCAAAACCAAACCCTGACCCTTGTATAGGTAGTATGGAGACACAAACATAAACAGCAAATGTTGGGCCGGTTCTTCTTCGATTTCACCCTTCTTCTTTTTACTTTGAGCTTGTTCTTTTTCGAGTCGCTGCTGCTCTTGTGGATCGAACTGCTTAGAGACCAGGTTCTCGTCCCATGAAATAGCGACTACAATAGGTCTCGTAAAAAAGCTTTTCGTAGGTTTGATATCATCGACCAATCGCAGTTTATACTGCGGAATGATCTCCTTGGGATTTTCCGCACGCGTAGCGACAGCCCGTATGGCAAGTCCACGTAGTTTCAAAGTGCCTGACAGAATGGTATGCATCATGCCAAGACTTTTATATTCGACAGAGGCGTCCAAGTAGTTTGTGAAAGTACACGTCTTGTGGTAGGAGAAGTTTGGGTCGGTGTGCTGGGCACCATACCTGGAGTCGTATTCTACAGATCCGTTCACACTCATCCATGACCAACTCGGAGCAATGTAGTCCCGTACATTGGAATGATAACGTTGGCTTTGTCTGTTGGCTTCCCAAAGCAGTTGGCTCTCAATATCTTTCTCCCAGAGTCCAGCAAGGTAGCAATCCTGAGTGACAGTCTTCATCGCGCTGGCCAGTCCGGCCAGGGCGACGGTCTTGTCTGTTGAGTGTTTAAGAGCACATCCGGAATAGAACTCAATCAGCCTGGACCAGATTGAACGAAGTTCAATCTTTCCTATAGAGTTCAAGCTTGGTTTTGCCCAAGTCATCTTCTCTTGGTTTGCCTCTTGCATGTGCTTGGGGATTCCTGTAGGGAAATCTTCAGATGCGCTAGCCTCTAGACATTCCCAATAGACTTGGCTTTTAGCGAAGCTTAGCTGTCTTCTCGCCAGGTATCTCTCCTGGACCACCCAGCCACGTCCATTAAGCGGGGCATGCATAATGTCGGACCTGTATGCATCTTGATTGTGTACCGAATAGTCTTCTCGCTCACCGCCACGAAGCACTGAGAACGTGGTACTCATATCGGGTTTCGTATTGGATGGTCTTGTACTGAAACACCCAGTCGTTCCATCTGCACCCCAACTGGCTGCGATGTTGCAGCAGGCATTATGATAGATATCTCCCATCAGCGAAGACTGATTTTCCCAGTCTTTTTTGTCGTTTTGGATGATGCATAAGGAATCTATCCAGATGTATGGGACGCCTAACGACAATGCTACCCTCATAGCATCCTGGTAGGTTTGAGGGAGCTCAGAAACCTTTTGTTTCTCCTCGAAACGAGCGATGCTCCCCTTGCTGTCCTTCTCAAGTTGGATGTGATCAGAGTTGCCCCAGCAGTGACTCAAAGTCACATAGCTTGAGTTTTTGATATTTGAGCCAAAAGTAAGTCGCCAATAGAGCTTGTCGCCAACTTTGAGGATCTCGATTAATCTTTCGGGAGGCAATCGTGCCAGCCCAAGTTCCTGCTTTTTGCAAGCGTCGTGGGAATCACGGCAGGTACGAAACCAGTAACACCACAAATTTTCTGCGTCGGCTGTTGAAGTACTTTCAGCCGTGACAGCAGGTATACAAGGGTCGTTTCGAGCCGGAGAGAATACAAATAGAGGTACTTCGGGGTTTTCGAAGGTCTTCGATCCGACGGAGACCTGCAAGTAACTCATGCCATACTCGCATTGGCCAGGACGCCGCGGGTACCCGAAGTTATCTGCATAATCCTGTACTTCATAGTAGATCATTCGGTCCCCTCTAGGAGCAACCTCTAGGCCGCTAGAGACAGTGTTCGAGAGAGCATTCTCGAGCCATTTTTCATCCTCTTCTGGTTGACATGCGATGTGTGCCCAGATTTGTTGGCAAACGAAACAACCCTCCATAACGGACCTATTGAAACTACGTAAGGAAAGATGAGATATGCCCGTGGAGATTCCATGCTGTAGAATGGGAAGGGCTTTTTTAAATGATTCTTTGCATATTGCACAAAGCATTGTGATATCGTAAGTATGGATTGGCTGAGATAGAGAATCGAGTAACTGTCCAAGGACATAAGCCGAAGGATGGCCACAACTGACAGGAAGGTTCAAGGAAAGTCCAGTTGGGCCGATAATTTATCATCATTGAAAATTTTCTGCCGACGTACATTGTAAATGAGTGAAGCTGGGAGATAAGAAAGGTCCGGCTGAATCGGGTCTGAATCGGGTCGCTCGACAGATGTCATTGTTGATCATACCGCTTTGGATGACAGTGGCGAGCTCCCAGCTCCTATCAGATGCGGCCAGCAGCTGTATTTTAGGCAGCTGGTATTATGTTGCATTCGACACAACACAGCCCGCCACGTATACACACACACAATATCCATAATGCAACAAATCAAAACGCGACATTGTCAATCTCCTCATCCACAGCCACTAGTTTTTGGTAGTAGGTGCTGTAATTTTGGTTGATTTTATGTCAGAGTATCCACGTTTTGCGACTAACGACGTATTCATTTGAGTTGTATGGATCGAGGAACGGTCACGGTTAGGGAGTACTGAGGGCTTTCGGCTGCATCGCGTTGTACCAAGAGGTCAAAGTGAGGAGATGGAAAGACATTGGCGCCTGTAATTCAAAAGTTCATTAGATACCCAAGGGCTGCAGATTGCATGAGAGAGGAATTTGACATCTATTAGCCATGCATATGCTATGTCACTTTCCTACGTATGACCAAATATGATGTGATTCCAACGAAACCCTAACCAAATACTGCGCTGTCTTACTGCAGTTGCCTTACCACAGACATACCCAGACGAACCCGAAAATCAAAGCATCCCACACATATAAGACTTCATCACGATTTGAAGCATAAGAATAACGTGCATCACAGAGGATAAACCCATCATAAAGCAGTATGTAGTATTTCCATTTCCTAGAGTCACATTGCACCTCTAAGGCGTAGCCGAGACAGGCAACCAACCCTGCCAGATAAAGCAGGCTGAGAAATGTATTATGTGGCGACAACTACTCCGATAGGTGATCCATCAAACTGTTGTGCCACCCAAAATTTGCATTTTTAAACAGATCATCGAGCCCAGGCACTAAACGGATTGGTGCACCAAAGTAAGCGGGTGCACAATTAGCGTAGAAAATCACATTCATTATTGAAGCATGATGGATGAGGTGTCTACATACTTAATTTTCCTGAAGTCTATCCGTTGGGTGTTAGCCAAAATGTAACGTTGAGTGCCTGGGAACGATCGTGACGCGGTACGAGCTTCTTGCCAATATGCAAGATGTCAAAAAGGAGTGGAACAGCCCCCGGCCTAACCACGACCGGAGGCATCTTCCAGCTGACGCAGTGGCAGGGCTAGCATGCCCGTCGCGGGAGGAAAGAGGATTCACGTGCTACTGTGTCGTAGGCGGTGAGAGCGGGCGGATCGCGGACAGCCTGCCGATCGGCCCTACGCTGGTGATAGCGCCCCGGGCCAGCGTAAACGTGTGGAGTGACAAGTGGGACGCCTATATCAACCTGGAGGAGTGGGTGCGTTGTGTGGAAACTTGAACGATTGATATACGCAAGTGCTATGGCTCTGAAATTGGAGTCTTTGCTTGTACGGCAACTCGAGTAGGAGAGTGCCGTATAAGTATGTATAGGGGAGTTTGGTTCATTCTTAAAACAACAGGCAATAGGGTTAGACTTCAACTATAGTTGGATTCGACTTGTTAGTACATAATCTCATAAGAGTGAATTAGAATAGGCATTTTTGTTTTGGTTATATATGCGCAATCTAGATTTTGTGCGTAGAAAGCAAGACAAGGGATGAGTAAGGGACGAGAACAAGGCAAGGGGACTATTTTCCGCGCCGCCCTGCGCCTTATGAATATTATATAGATAGAAAATAGGCCGACTACGGGCTCCGCCCACGCCCGCTGTACGGTCTACTTACGTAAAGGGGCTTTACGTCTGTACTGTAATGTGGTCCGTACTTGTCCCCATTCAAGGCCACGTCGTGACGGCCTTGAAGTACCGTGTTATCTTCAGGTCCGGTCCTCCGCGTCGATCTATTATAAGAGATACCTAGCACACTTTACCGCACCTTGAAACTTATACCAACCCACGCATACACCCGCACATACACAAACTCACACTCACATAAATTCATACATACCTAGTCATATATATGCATTTACTAAACATATCAAATGAATTAACCTAAAGTGTATACCTAGTACTCCGCTATATACCTAATGATCTCTCTTGAGCTTTCCGAAGAGCAAAAGGAACTCGTGCACGCAGCCTACCGTTGGGGCTGTGCGCGACTCGACGACAAAAGACGCCGGCTTAACTTACTTCCCGAAAGCGATCAGGATATGGCAAGCGCCGCCTATCATTGGGGCTATGTCTGGCCTCAAGAGAAAACACGGCTATTCCAATCTGCCCCTAACTACCGTCGTTTATTCATAGCATTATCGAGTGAAAATTGGCTATTGAAGAAACCGGGCCTACGTTACGAGGACGGTCCTATAAACCTACTTGAAGAGCTCGAACTCGAAAACTACGATCTGTTTAAAGAGACTATCAACGACATGGGTTCTAGAACTCTTACCTGTATCCCGGATCATAGCCCTTTAGGAAGGAAGAGTAGTCTGAAATTCTTACATATAATTTCTCAAGTCAAAGGCGATGGGGCGGCTCTCGCTACTCTTACACAGACACGCGATGCTATACGTAAGGCGGTTTTAGCGCAGGTCAGTAAGGGCGAAGTTCTAAGAAGGGTCACAGAAAACCAAGCCAAGAAAAGTATAACTACGTCACAGCATTATGTGGTAATGGATGGGTTTCTGTTGGGGTTTCCGGGGTCGGCTTGATCTTGTTCCAGTTGTATGGCTATATACGAGGACGGTGGCGGAATCTACTTTCACTCATGCCTTAAGCATACATGCCATAGGTACTGCCCTGGCTCCAGCGAATGTGTTGATTATAAGCTAGGTAGTCCGTTAGTGTGACCTTCGTACTCATACCTTGATACTTGGGTGCTTGGAACGTTTTACCATCGTCTAGCGTTCGGGAGCCGGGCTGTAGCATTAGTTAGGTACCGATTAGCCCTTAGAACGTACCACTACTTTACGCAGCCACGTGTGTTGTAGCCACCCTAATTCCAATATTAAGCCTAGTATTAGTCGCGACAGTGGTATTTAGGATGAGGATCTGAGAAAAGGCAATGCAGCGCGTCTGAGGAAGAGGCGTATGAGTCATCAGGAAGGCGGAGGGTCGCCTACGGCGATAGAGAAAGATAGAGGAAGAAAGGAGTAGTGCGCTACACCCACTATACGTATTCATTCAATTGTACATGCGTTAAACCACGTCTAATTTCTATCGCGGTAGCTTTAGCCTACCAGCATAAAAGTATGAACGCCTTCTAGTGTCTCTATAATACACCTGCATGATAGAATGTAGCATATATGCACCCGAAGGTCCTAATATACGTGTTCCACCACAGCTCGTACAGATTCGTGATGCCAATCCCGCAAGTACACAGGCCTAGTAGTTTAATTGTTATAAAGGTTCAGATTTAAGAAATGTTACTAGAATACATCCAATGAATGTACATTAGGTATGGCTAGAGTAAGGTCATATGCATAAACCCACAGGGGTTTAAGCCCGTCGACCTCCTTTTAGCCTGTCCCGACAGTTTGGTTACGCCCATGCGAACCCATGTACTAAAGAATGTGATTGGCGGGCTTCCTACCTATTGGAGAAAGAAATCTGATGGCTACCCTGGATTATAAAGGTCCCCCTCCCAGGTCTAACCGTAACGCTTTCGGGGAGCCGGTTTGGACTTCTTTTGTCGCGGGTGTGTACATCATGGCCATACGCAAAAACCAACCAACTGACGGTATAGTATTAGAACCACGGTTATGTGTACCCACCTAGGTATGTACCCAGGTATCGTTTTCGTCTCCGGCTTCAAATGTGACCCGAAAGGAGGCGATTCGTTTGCTAACAAGATCTATTTTTAAATAGACTTATGATAGTGTTTGTGACGAAGACAGTCAGACCCATTTCGAGAAACAAGGAACACGACATAGAACGCGGCCAAGAAAGGAAAAGGCGGAATCCCCGCGATAATCCCCATGCCATCACTGCGTTTCGGGTCGTGACATTATCATCCTCGCTTTTAATTATTCATCATTACGTAGGTTTTCAAGAGAGCCCCGCTATACTCCCACTAATAACAGATTTGCCTGCTTCCTCCGTGGCTGCTCGGGACTGCGATTCCCCGTTAACTCCTTACTAGTCGCCCAAATCATCCAAAACGCCGGAGCTAAGTCAATGCGGCGAGGCTGCCTACACACGATGGATGAGACTGCCGAGACAGCCAACGGGGAGTCTCCTCTTTCTCCTCGAGAGGGAGCCCTAAGACAACGGACACCCAACCTCAAGAAGCAATATCGAAACGACAAAACATCATTCGACCCAGTCCGTCGGGGAGAGGAAATTGCACAAAAGATTACCAAAAGAGTTATCCGCATGGGCAACGCCGACGTACACCTCGCCGAAAGCTGGAGAAACCTCATAGGGAACCAGTCCCGAACGTATATGATCGACTTCTTATGGTATAGCTCGCTTTACGAAGACCACGCCACTATCCGTTGGGCTGAGCGTTTTTACTCATTGTGTATGCGCTACGTCCTTCGTAGAAGAGGTCAACTCGACGGTATCATCGGTGGCCAAATACGGGACCGAATCGAAGAAGCGGCGATCACCGTCAATATGTCTGTAAACCAGCTCTGCCTATCCGAATGTCTGAGCAGTAGTACCAAGATATACACGGCGCTAGCGCGTAAGTGAAGCTCGTTGCTCCGCCCGATCAATATTGACACGAGTTATGTAGTTTGCGATCATAAGCTGTCAGAGATATTAGCCGGTTGAACAGGGAACAACGACGCGCTTTTAATGGCTCGTTCGCTCAAGAGATGCGCCTTCATTTACAAGAGTTGCTAAGGAAGCACATATATCATCCGGCTATAGTGATTAGTATGTTATGAGGCGAACCGTAGGTGGCCGTTATGTTCTGGCTTACATTAACAGTATAACACGGGAGATCAAATTCAATGATATATATAGAGAATTACATCAACATAATTTTGCCTGCTTTAAGAGCG